CTAATTTTATTTTTTATTTAAATAAAAAAAAAAAAAAAAACTTGCCCCTTTTAGACTTGCACTATTTATTAACTAACTGCTTGTTTTTCTTTTTAAAAAAAACTAACACTTGCTTCTCTAATCTTTTAGCATTCTATTTGTTTTCTTTTTATTTATTATACAATTATAATTCTGACTTTCTGACTTCTGATTAACAAAAAGCAAAAAACACACAAGGCCTCTAAGACTAGCTTGCTCTATTCTTTTTCTATCTGTTTTCTTTTTATTTATTATATGATTTTAAAAAAGAACCTTGCTACGCTACGTGTACTGCATTAAGCTAACTGAGACTTGTTATAGCACTTGCATATCATTGCTCTTTTGTTGATTTTGATTGCTTCCATTGTCCTCATTTGTAAGTCGCTTTGGATAAAAGTGTCTGCTAAATGTCTAAATGTAAATGTAAAAAATAACATGAATTTCAGAATGCCTTAGCATTTGGTTTGTCTCCTTTTTGCTTATAGTATTTCTGACCCTTTGTACAGGGATGTTCACATGATAAATGATAGTTTGTTTATTAGTGAGAAATAGTGTATAGGATCTTACATTTATAATTTTTTATTTACATGATTTATTGTTTATTTTTATGTTATTATTTATATATGTCTTTGTTTTACATAATATATAATATTAAATAATATTACACTGCCAAACCTTTGGAATAATTGAATTTTTTTTTTTCTCGAAAGAAGTCTCTTATGCTCACCAAGGCTGCGTTTATTTGATCAGAAATGGAATATTGTTATTTTATTACTGTATCACCAATTTTACTGTATTTTTAATAAAATAAATTCAGCTTTGGCGAGTAAAAACATAAATTTAAATTATTCCAAACTTTTGACTGATAGTGTATATAATATTACATAACATTGTTTTAAATAAAAATAATGTTAATATGTTTTCAAAGTATTCATATTTAATAAGTATTGGTCAAACATGGAATCACATGTATCCATATCTAGATCTATGGTCAAAAATATATTTTGGGAACAATGGGCCTCATTTATCAATCTAACGTAGAAACGAGCGCAGATCTGTGCGCACAAATACACTTACGACAGAGTTCACGTGTGATTTATGAAACATTCGTATTCCGCAAATTTGTCATCGTACGAATGATCGCATGTTGATAAATGTGGCAGCAGAAAACAATCGTCATTTGAATATCACGCCCCTAAAAACACCCTGGTTTAGAAGCATCGCCCTAGAGTTTACGACAAGCAGAAACGAAACCCGGCCAAAAAGAGGAAGTAATCTTGCTAAAGAGAAATTGATCTTACTCCAAAAACACCCGTTAACCTTGTAATTGCAAACAATTAGGCTACATTAATATATGTAATTTATATGTATATTAAAATACTGGTAAATATAAACAGCCTATTTAGTTCCCCTCACTCTACAACAAATATTTTAAATTTAACGGTATTCAGAACAGAACAAGAATGAAAAATAAGTAGTTATAAAATTATATTTTTAACTGTAAAATAAAACACAAATTAGGCTATAGTGGCATTCATTATAAACAGCATACAAATGTCAAGCAAAACTGAAACGGCATTGGGCTCACGCGCCTGTCTCATACCACAAGAATCAAATTTTGCGTTAAAACGACCGTACGCTCAATTTTCTGTCGTACGTTCGTTTCGTAAATGAGGCCCATTGTCCCCAAATGTAACTATTTTTTCTAACATCTTCTGAGAAATGGGAATGCTCCGGCCTGACAGGGCATCATCACAGTATGGTAAGGGGCGTAACATTTCCGTCACACGCTTGAGGTATTCGGCCAATCACAACACACTGGATAGCTGGCCAATCACAGAACACCTTGCTTTTCAGACCGATGAGCTTTGTAAAAATCGACGCGTTTCAGAAAGGCGGGGCATAGAGGAGAAACAATAATGTACAGTATGTGGAAAATAATGTGTTTTTTTAACCTTAAACCGCATCAACACATCTCATTACACCAAATACACAAAATAATGTTCTTTTTAGCAACATCATATGACCCCTTTAATAGCACTTGCTCTTTGCAGCTGTCCAATGCAGATTCATATATTATAATTAAAATAAGTGATTTGAACATCAGTCACACTGAACATTTGTTCTTTTGAACTGAAAAATGGTTCAAAAGGTGTTTCATATACAGTACTTAACATATTTCTCCAATTCCCCTGAAAATACATCTTGATCAGGTAGGCTACACTATAACTTAGCTAACTAGGTGAACAAACATTCAAGAAATGGCCTCATTTTTCCTTTTCACCAAATGACCTCCACTATTTCTCTCATCTCATGTGGTCTAAAGAAAAAACAAAGGCTGCCAAGGAGTAAATCATGATTACAAATATATTCATTTCATCATATGAACATATCCTATTTTTTACAAAGCACTCAGCATGACTGTCTGGCAGAGTCCATTATGGAAAATACCAAATGCAAAGAAACTCAATGGTTTTGTGTGAAAATATACTGTAACTGGCCCTGTCTGCTTTACTCGTGTCTTTATTCCCTTTATTTTCCTATTTACACTTCTTTATCTATGCTATCTACAGAACAATTACCTAATCTAAACGAATCTAAAAAGGCACAGTGGCACAATGAATACTAGTTAACGGACCTCGAATACCCTGTAATGCAAAATATAAGGAAAATGACAAATAAGAGTAACTGAATATATGGGACAAGGACAGATCAATGTTTCTGAACTAAAATGTTGCTGTAGCAGTCCATTGATCTAGTCATTTGTGAACTTTGGATTTCATTGCTTCACAGAAATGTCATCCTAGTTTTTTCACTTTTCAAAGGTACAGTTTAACATAAAAGTAGAAGTGCATGTTTTCCTCATCAGTAACCAAAGCCAAATCTTGAATAAAGCTCATTAACTAGTATGTAAACCTTAACTTCCAACATCTAATTAAATTAATTTATCATAAAGAATGAAATGAATCAAAATACGCATGACTGCCGCTCATAACGGGCATGAACTGTAAGTATGCAGTGGAGAGCGCATACTAATTTTACAGCAGCACATATTAGGTTTCCTCCGTCATGCATTCAATAACACACGACTAGTCTGTCTATGTTCAATAGAGTAGACTACTTGCTGACTAAATTAACATTGGTTACGCTGTTAATAGTACACACTAAGCAAAACGCGAATTAAGCATATGCTCCTAAATAAGTCGACACAATTCAAAATGCTGAGACATTAATGTGACAATTGAGTAAACCAGCACAACTCACCTCGTGGGTTGATGAATACAAGTTTATCTTGCCCCAAAAAGCAATGAATGAGATTTATCTCCACATATAGTAAGATCCTGCAGTCCACCATAAATCTTTTCTCTTTTGTGGTGTCTTCAGTTTGAGAGGCAGCGGTCAGTGTGGAGCTTCGTGTCGCCTTCGGTCAGGGGAGAATCGCGGGGCGGGCATTTCGAACACTACTTGGACAAGTACCATATTCTCAGTGTGTTATTCAGTGCCACGACCAGTGTTGGGGAAAGTTACTTTTAAAAGTAATGCATTACAATATTGCGTTACTCCATAAAAAAGTAACTAATTACGTTACTTAGTTACTTTTTATGGAAAGTAATGCGTTACGTTACTTTTGCGTTACTTTTTACATCTGGACAGGGCTTGCTTGTTTGTTTTTAAAATAAAAAAGTTCTGTTTTTGGCAAATATAAAAGCCTTTTCACACCAAAAGTGAAATGAAGGGAAAGTACATTTACGTCCGTACATTAGAATGCAGAAAAAGAAATTTCAACACACTTAAAAAAGACAGTAAAAAAAGACACAAATGTTTGTCTAGAATGATTTGTGCTTATTAGTACGGTTGAACACTGCTTTTCAAACTTTTAATACATTATAATCATAATAATACATTATTAATTAGAATAATTAACATTATTGATTTAATAATAAAACATTAAATAGTTATGGAAAATACATTTGAAAGGTTTATCACTCAGCTCAGCAACAAGATTCCATTTTAAGTATCCTGGTGTTTTAGGTTTTTTTTATCAAAGCATTGTGGTGTGCTCAGGAATTGTAATTATAAAGTCTTCAATTTTCAAATGTAAATAATGCATCTCTGTTTGAGGATGTTTGCTTTCAGCAGGGATTGCATAAACTGCAAAAAGGCATGTAATCAAAGTCTAGATGGCTTTAGTGTTGGTGTCACTATTGGGTCCAAATAATTCATAACCCAGAGCTGTGTTGTTGATGTAAGCAGATCAGTAGATCAATGAAAGTCCTGCAGTTTGTATCCAAGGGCAATGCATGAGCCTCAGTGGGAAATTGATTGTGATTCAGAACAGTCCTCTAGTGTATTGAGAGGGAAAATAGCCCGGAAAAACACGCTGATCCTTTCAAAACCGCTGCTGTTAGAAATGAGAGATGGATTGGTAAAAAAAAAGAAAAAAAGAAGCCATTTGGGGATGTGAAGTTTCTAAAATCATCATGGATTATATAACAGCCATTTATTCAGAGATGTAACTGCATTGGTTGCATTGAATATCAACAGCTACAAGAATTTCACATTGTGTTTTTGTCTGTGTCTATTTTTCTGATCTTTTCTGTTATATAGCTTTTCATCTTCATTCTCTGTTTTTCTCTCTGCTCCTTCATTGTACCATCAGCTGCTCTATCTTGTTCTTCCTAGAGTAAACAATCCCCTCTGCTCAAGCATGCCAGCTATTTGCTGTGAATAACATGTAGCTTTTTGATACTTTTCAGATGCTGGTCCCAAAAGGGAGGCAGGGATATAATTTTAGGTTTTTCTCTCCCCTTTTTGACTTCACAACAGTCTATCTTTTCCTTTTTTTCCCTTTGTCGTCTGTCTCTCTCAATCTGTTTCCCCCCAGTTCCTCCAATGCCTAGTCTAATACGTACTAACTAATAAATAAAAATAAATGAAACACAAATAACTATATTTTTAAATTAAATATTAAATTTAAAACAAAAAAAAATGACTAAAGCACATTATTACAAAAAATTAAAGTGAAATCTGAAAATATAAAAATAAAAGCTAATTCAAACATTAATAAACATAGTAACACTTCACAATAAAGTTCTGTTTGTTATTTGTTACATTAGTTAACTTGAACTAAAAATGTTAATACATTTATTAATCATGACTATTAATTAGTCATTTTTGACTTGACTTAATGTAAATATTTAATGTAAATTTCAACATTTACTAACACATGATTAAAATCAAATGTTGTATCTGTTAACGTTATTTAATGGACCTAAGCTTACTTGAACTAACAATGAACAGTTGTATTTTATTTATGTAAAAATTAATAAATACGGTAAAAAATGTATTGCTCATTGTTAGTTAATGTTTATTAATGCATTAACTGATATTAATGAGACATTATTGTAAAGTGTATAAACTATAAAATAATCTTCATTGCACCAATACTGTCCCATGTCTAAACGTTTTTTGTCTGTACAAGCTTACAATTATTAGTCAGCAAATTCTTTCCTTAAAAAATTAAATCAAAATATAATTGCAAGCAGTGATGATGGGCCCAAGCCATCAGTGCAACCGCCACCCCAGTGGCATCAGGAAAACGGTACACAACATGGACATGCACTTACAGTAATTAAAGTAACCCTCTGGCAGTCTGGTCTTAAAGGTTACTGAAATGAAAGGGTTACACTATAACATCAAGAGTGTGACACACACACACATGTTTACTTAGCTATCTAAATGGGGACATTCCATAGGCGTAATGGTGGCAGCATATTTAAAAGAGGTTTTACAAAAGTTCAGTTCTGACAAAGGGCACAGAGTCGTCCGCGAGGGGCTGAAAATGTACTTTCATTTTGTGTTTGTTTATTTTATTAAATTTTGTTTAAATGTTCGCCGGTTCTGCCTCCTTATTCCCGAGCTACAAACTGTGTTACAATATTGTTCATTGTTAGAATGTTAGTTAATTCATTAACTAATGTTAACAAATGTGACCTTATTGAAAAGTGTTACCAAAACTTTTAATAATCTATAAGCATCTGTAAATAATTATATGAAACCACATTACCCATAGAGTACATATGAACTTATTTTATGTATTTGTTTGTAAATCTAACTAACTGAACTGTGCAGTAAAGGATCAGGCTTAAAGATTTCTTATCCTTTGAGTGAGAAAGGGTAGGATATATAAAACTTTGAATGATCTATAAAAAACTTACAGTAATTAAAGTAACCCTCTGGCAGTCTGGTCTTAAAGGTTACTGAAATGAAAGGGTTACACTATAACATCAAGAGTGTGACACACACACACATGTTTACTTAGCTATCTAAATGGGGACATTCCATAGGCGTAATGGTGGCAGCATATTTAAAAGAGGTTTTACAAAAGTTCAGTTCTGACAAAGGGCACAGAGTCGTCCGCGAGGGGCTGAAAATGTACTTTCATTTTGTGTTTGTTTATTTTATTAAATTTTGTTTAAATGTTCGCCGGTTCTGCCTCCTTATTCCCGAGCTACAAACTGTGTTACAATATTGTTCATTGTTAGAATGTTAGTTAATTCATTAACTAATGTTAACAAATGTGACCTTATTGAAAAGTGTTACCAAAACTTTTAATAATCTATAAGCATCTGTAAATAATTATATGAAACCACATTACCCGTAGAGTACATATGAACTTATTTTATGTATTTGTTTGTAAATCTAACTAACTGAACTATGCAGTAAAGGATCAGGCTTAAAGATTTCTTATCCTTTGAGTGAGAAAGGGTAGGATATATAAAACTTTTAATGATCTATAACATTTTTTACAATTATTTTAATGCTCTATAAGGATTTCTAAAATAATTATGCAAAAGTATACTGACAGTACAGTACATATCAACGGACCATATGCATTTATTTGTCATTCTAATAGATGGAGATTGAGCTGAACAAGAATAGGCTTAAAAGATTTCAAATCCTATGACTCCATCTAGTGGACAACATTAGTATTACAGCCTTCATCTGTCAGCTGAAATGTCTGAAATGTCTGAATTTTCTGCTGGCCCCTGAGGATTTTAAATGTATGAAAATAAGCATGTTTCCTCAGAATGACTAGTTCTCCATATGTATTTTTTTAAGAGTTTGTATAATGCACTTTAAAGATATAAGAAAATTACTGTTATCTTTTTTACTGTTATTTTTAATAAAGAGCCATGGCGACACCATTCAAGATATACAAAATCCAATTTAGCATTTTAGCAATTTAGCATCTTCAGTATCTTGGCATTACGTTGACAAAATTTGTTGTGAATTGCATCATTCTCCAACAAGGATTATGCATTAATTCACCCCAAAACCCCCCAAAAACCTTGAAAAAAAATACAAATAAAATCCTTAGAAGAACAATAGTGCCCTGATCCCCTAGTGACTTGGGCCTTAATGAAATAAATAGCTGTAAGTAGCTACCCTATGTGTCTACCACATCCATGTGTTTTGTCTTCCTGCGTTCTTCCTACAGTCTCCCATGATTATGTAGAAACTGCTGGTGTTTAGGCCCATTAACTGTGATTCCTGTCTTGATATCAGTGCCAAAAAGGGAACAGATCCAGCGGAGAATTCTTAGCTTATCATGGCAATGTTTACGGAGCTCAGATTTGAGTGATGTCCTGGGGCTGGCTTTCCTCAATGCTACATCATAATGAACTCTGGGTTAACAAATAGCAAGTGTTGATGTTTGTAATATCATGTTTCACTTCAAAAGCTTCAAACAGTCCACAAAGACATTTAAACATGCACTGAGTTATTTTCACACATGATCTGATGATGACAAATGCCTTTGAGAAAACAATGTGATCCTTTCTTTCCCACACTTCATGCTTATTATTGATAGTGAGGTGATTATTAAGAAATGTAAGATAAGCTTGTAACTGAGTTTAGTGCACAGTACACAATGTTACAAGTCTAATGTTATCAGAGTTTCCTCCCTCCTGTGCTTTGAGTTATTTTCTGCTTTGGGCTTTTTGTTTATTTCCTTTTTGACTTTAGACATGTTTTGTATTCAAAACTCAGTTCAGTCTCATCCTGTTCTTGAGTTGCACTGTTTAAAAAGTGTGTCTTCTTGCATCCGCTCCTCTTACCAATATCACTCTTCTCTGTATTTAGTCTAGGCCATCATCTCTTTGTAGAGATACTGATCATCCTGTATTTTCCATGAAAGCTTGACGAGAGACTAATTACCCCCAATCCACAGAGAAACTGCAGGGCATGTCTTTAAGGGAATAGTTTACCCCAAAATTAAAATTTGCTGAAAATGTACTTGCCCCTGGGCCATCCAAGATGAGTTTGTTACTTCATAGGAACAGATTTGGAGAAATTTAGCATTACATCACTTACTCACCAATGGATCCTCTGCAGTGAATGGGTGCTGTCAGAATGAGAGTCCAAACAGCTGGCATTACAATAAAACACAACATGACTCCAGTCAATCAGTTACCATTTTGTGAAATGAAATCT